AGAGCCGAATACACACATAGAGGTTAATCGAATACACAAACTCAACACCACGATTAAATTAAACCAACTGTATACAAATCTCCGACTCTGAGCCATTCAGGGTGGCTTGTAAGGAAAGAACATGTACGTGTACCCTATTGTGATCAGTATCAATGACGTTTTAGTGAACATCTATGTTTTTGTCGTTTTTATATTAAAATACGAAACTTATTGGATTATATATGATTGCACAGGGAAGAGACAGAATCATTTAGAAAATTAACGGAAATATAGTAACCGTTAGTATGTACAATTGGAATATAGAAGAAGTAACAATGACATGAAATAGCTGTTAAGAAATAATACTAAATTCTGAGAAAAAAATATTTCTAATAATGAGCGTGTCAATTTGTTTGCAAGCTCGTTATGTAAAAACAAAAAAAGAAAAGTAGAAGAAACACTTTCCAGAAAGGAAAACAGTTTTGAACATTAAAACTTGTTACTACTTTGACGTTATTGTTTAACCTATTTGTGCAACAGTAAATGTAGAAACCATAGTAGTTTGACAGTATTAGAGTTACTGTTCTCTCTGTTGTTAATGTTGTTTTCAGAGAGTCATTTTTTGGTGAGGAAACACATAACAGTGGAATAATACAAACATGTTTTATGGCAGTGGTCAAGTTATTGTCCGCACATCCTTGCGATGTAGTATAGTTTTGTTATCTACAAGATAGGAAATGATTTATTGAGTCAATACGTGAATGTGAACCGTCATATTATCTTTCCTTGCTCTAGTCAGAGGAGTAGTAATGGTTTATACCGATTCCTTTAGGGTTCTTCGAACAAATACCCTCGAGGAGTAGGAACAATCTAGCCAGATTGGACAAGCTGATATTAATATAGCTGATCAGCACACTTTGATATAGTTGCCATCTCGGTACTATGCATTCATATAGTATACGACTTGGTATGTTTAATTCCAATAATTTTGTTCAGATAATAAATCAAATAGTAATATGGTTGTCAAACTTGATGAGCATATACATCTTGAGGAGTCCAAAACGTGGTTAATATGACCAACATTTGCGTTTATACTTTGACAAAGTACTAAAGACAACAGGAAACTGAAACCAGTGTTGATCGTTCAACGGGAGATAACTCGTAGGTTGATGACTTATGTTATTTCTTTTCCAGTATATCATCTACATGGGCAAATTACTTTAAATTATGTTCAGTCATTCCGTAAATTGATAACCCATATTTTTTATAATATGACTTACCAAGTTCATTTTGTGCCTAAAATCGAATTATTATTGCATATTATAATTGAAAACCACTTTACATTCACTCGGCACTGTATGACAAAATTCAACTTCATATTACATTAAAGCATATCGAATCGCAAAATGACACTATACGGCCGAATAAGATTTGATATTGAAGAGCTACTGCAGATTTTGAAAGATGGAAACATCATTAATATAATGAAAAGGCTATTGTTTTGACTAGGATAGAATTGGACAATTCGTCTCAAATTGATATAACGATGATATGTTGAATTTCTCAAAATAAACAAAATATTGCTGAAAAAACAGTTATCATAAAGGAAATTCCATTATTGTTTTTATCTCAAGTTATTGAAATTGATAACGGGATATAACAGTATTAGTTTGCCAGTTTGAGAAAATGGAATTAGTAACGGTTGTATAGTGAAGAAGTCAAACGATGTATCCTTTTTTGTCTCCGAAAATAAGATAAATAAGGTTCGCAAGATTTTACTTGCAAGTTTCATTTTAACAATTGATTATGGTCGGAATTTGATAAGTCTCTAATATATTATCCACTATCTATATTTATAAAACCCAATGTATCAGGCCCGTGTAAAAAGGCTTCCGTTGGTGAATCATGTTTATCTATGAGTGTGATTGATCCCTGCGAAACTGTACCAATATCTATGAGTGTGATTGATCCCTGCGAAACTGTACCAATATCTATGAGTGTGATTGATCCCTGCGAAACTGTACCAATATCTATGAGTGTGATTGATCCCTGCGAAACTGTACCAATATCTATGAGTGTGATTGATCCCTGCGAAACTGTACCAATATCTATGAGTGTGATTGATCCCTGCGAAACTGTACCAATATCTATGAGTGTGATTGATCCCTGCGAAACTGTACCAATATCTATGAGTGTGATTGATCCCTGCGAAACTGTACCAATATCTATGAGTGTGATTGATCCCTGCGAAACTGTACCAATATCTATGAGTGTGATTGATCCCTGCGAAACTGTACCAATATCTATGAGTGTGATTGATCCCTGCGAAACTGTACCAATATCTATGAGTGTGATTGATCCCTGCGAAACTGTACCAATATCTATGCGTCTTTTTCAATGTATGAGCTGTTTCTTTCAGACAACGGGAAATCTTTTAATTGAATATTGATAAATACACAATGTATCCATTCCAAAGGTGTTTGTTCATTTGTCATACATGCATCATCCACTTTTTGTTATTCTATGATAAGTTGATACTACCTGCGTGTTGGTCTAAAAATAGAACGCGAAATACTATCAGGATCACATAGGATTTTTAACAGGTGAAGCTGTAACCTGAAAGGGATTAAGCGATGAATATTCACAGAAAAAATGTCTTCTTTATTTCTTAATTTAAACTCTCCATGTAACCATATTCAACATCGAATAAAGCCGTTATTCAATTCAATTGTCATCAATGATTTCTTCTGACAGATATTTATTCTTGGGATTAAAAGAAAAAATCATGATGGATGTAACTTTTATCACATGCCTATGCAATCACACGATAGTAATACATCATTTTGTCAGATGTGTTTTCTGTCTGCTTGTATCACACATGTGCGATACAAGATCCCGTTTCACCACAGTAGCCGGAACTACTTTTTAGGGGAATTCCCTCTACTGACAACGCTAAAAATAGCCTGGTATTTGTATTGAACGTTGTACATGTACGTTGTCTATAGTGTTTAAATATTTTTTTTATTTTTATTTTTATTTTCATATTGATAATAAATGACAAACAACACAATAATAACATGTCTTATGCCTTTATTACCAAAGAAACAATATTTACCTCCGTCTGTCGTCTGCTATTCACCGACACCACTGACGGCTGCTTGAAAACAGTATGGCACTTCGCCTGTAAATTTCGAGATTCTTCACGATTTGCTGATGGGTAATACGGAAATGGACAGTGATGAAAGCTTTGACACAGAAAGTGCAACCGAGGTCATGAGTTCCCCGCTTCGGTATCAAATCATCCCATTCCCGTTGTGACCCCCAGCCCAGCGCCAGTCAATCTTTGCCACCCCCTCAAATCCCTGACCCTGCACAACTTGAAATGCCATCGGTAGACCTTCAGTCTTACACGTGAGTGATATCCGATTTTAGGAACTATATTTTAAGTAAAAATGACGGATCTCAATATGAGCCTGACACGTTGACTAGTTTCCATCGGGGAATTGATAGGCATTTGAAGAAAATAAACTATCCATACAACATTACCATATCCGATCTTTTCACAACCAGCCGTCAAGTGCTCAATTCACGGAGAAAGGAATTGAAACAAAAGGGTCTGGGTAATCGTCCTAATAGAGCAGAGCCTGTCAGTGCCAACGGGGAGGTGAGTTTGTGGCAATCTGGCCAATTAGGGATGGATAATCCTACTACCTTACTGAACATCGTGTGGTATAACAACACAAAACGTTTGGGATTCAGGGGGTGCGACGAAAACAGACAGTTAAAGTGGGGCGATTTGGGACAAAAAACAGATGAAAAAGGAAAAAACTACATTGAATTTGAGGAAAGGTCGACCAAAACACGAGGGGGTAATTCTACTCACCACAGATCATTTAATCCCAAGCTATTCGAAAATCCAGAAAATCCATCCAGGTGTCCGATTTAGGCATACACGTTGGATTCAAAACACAGGCCACAAGAGATGAACGGTGATGAATCTCCATTTTACCTCGCCGTCAATCAAAATTCGAAAGGAAAAAAGTGGTTTAAAAACCAACCGGTCAGACGGAAAAAACTTGCAGTGATGTTGAAGTCGATGGCCAGCAACGCTGGTCTTGTTGGGAAAAAAACAAATCAGTCCTTGCGAAAAATCCTGTGCACGACTCTTCTACATTCTGGCGTTGCTCCAACAACAATAATGCAACTGTCTGGCCACAAAAATGTCAACAGTGTTAACAATTACGCGGTAGCATCTATGGCCCAACAACGGGAAATGTGTGAACTATTACAAAATGTCCAAACGACACAAACGACAACGTCTAGTCTTGTACCACGTGCGACTGTGTCTCGACCCCGACAGATTGAACAGTTTCAAATTCAAAATGAAAATGTCGCACCTGCCATGCCTGTGTCCCGGTCAAGGCCAATTGGCGAGAAAGACGTTAAAAATCTAGCCACTGGTATGTTTTCCGGAGCAACTATCACAGGTGGAACATTCAACATAAACTTCCAAATATCGTCACAGTCGCGCACAACATCACATTCATCACCTTCAACGAAATACCGACGAATACTGCCAATTGTTGACTCAGATGATGAAGATTTTATCTAGATTTCTTGTGTTTTCTGACCTTGGCGCGTGACGTCACTCAGACTCAGCGCGTGCTGTGACGTTGCGAGACTTTGGGAGAATTTGTAATGACCGACATTTAAACTTACATGAATACACGTAACTTTATGCCATTAAATGTGTTGCATTTGAATTATTCTTTGTTATTTTGTATTTAACCATTAATATTTAAAATGTTGTACAATTAAAGGTACAGTTCAGTCTTAAAAAGTCTCTTATCATTCACAGGTCCTGTGAACCATGCAATGACTTTTTTAAAGCCATGCAATGATATTTCTTTTAAGAATTTGTTTTCTTTATCACAGAATTATCAAAAAAACACATCAATGATACAAAGAATGTATTACATAAAAATAAAAGAAATACATTATCATAAAAAACACGAAGAGAATGCCATTTATTTTTTTAATAAAACACAAGTTTCTTATAAAAAAATCCTGGCATTGCGTCGACCTGTGTGCCGATGGAAAACGACAAAAAGAGGAAAAACATAAAATGTGCATTTAGTCATATCAGATAAAATTCCTAATTACCAAGGCTACAATAGGGTTAAGTCATGTGATAAAAGAAAAACCACACATATGTGTTGATCTGAGTATTCGGATCGCACTCGTTTGTGGCGCGGAGGGAATATATCACTCGTGCGAAGCGCACTCGTGATATATTCCTCCGCCACCACAAACTCATGCGATTCGAATACTCAGATCAACACATATGTGTGGTTTTGCCTATGTATCCAATAAAACTCCAACATTTACGGCGTACTGTATGTCCCCTCTAATATTCTAGTTAAGATAACTCTATCTTAGGTTTTCTTGTTGCGACGCAAGATAAAACTGTATACATATTGTACAATTAACACAAAGTTCCTAACAGCAAATGTACAGTCGCTATCATGAAATTACATTAGGTATCTTTATACTTTTCATTTCTATTGACATCTCCAAAGTTCGTTATCACTTTCTTCCATCGGCTGTGAGATGTGTATTAAAGGATAAAACCTGATCTTCTATTTCACTTCCAGCTATCCTTTTCTGTTAATTTTTATTATATAAATTTTGTACATTCTTTTTAAAAACGATTATAACATGACAAATATATACATTTTAAGTTTGCATTGAATAAGAAACAATATTATGACAACCTATTTTATAAGCGCAGAACAAAGAACAGAATGGAAATATCATATGTATATATACGATAAGAGTTTTATTAGATAAACGTTATGAGGAATATGAATTTATAAATGAATATATGCATGAAGTCGTTGACATGGATTTTCTTATTTTCGGCCACAGGTATCTGAAAAAGACAAACCCTGAATGAGTAACGATATAGTAATTCATGGAATCATTGTTGTTTTTCACAATAGATAATGCTTTGATTCTCGGCCGTTTACTGAGAAAAAATAATAGTGTCATCTTTTATATCAGAGCATTTTTACTTTATTTTGACTCTAAAACAACATGATTAATTTAAAAATATAATTTATATTATTTTTCTGTTTTAGATAAAGTGATGTTAAATTATCCCAGTATTATATTCTTATTGACTCATGAGAGCTGGTTCAATAAATGTACTGAATTTCTAATTTTGATTATCTTGACACATATGTCATCCATGTGTGTATTCATATTTCCGGTAAACAATATACAATATTTATAGTGTTTTTTTCTCGGATCAATTTTTGTGCAGTAAAATGAGATAAATACCTTTTTGCCATAATTGCTTGTCTCTACATCAGTATTCCCTGATCTGTCTCCGTCTGTGTGCTATTCTAACACGAGACCTTCTGCCTCCCAACATGTCTCTCCTCCTGTCTCCCCACCTGTCTCCCCACCTGTCTCCCAACATGTCTCCCCTCAAGTCTCCCAACCTGTCGCTTCTACGTCGGTTCCAATCTCTTCCAAAGCTATCCCTGTTCCAACGATCGTTTTCCAAGTCCCAGCTATTTCCTCTTCTATTTTCATACAAGGAAAATCGCCTTCTTCCGTAGGTTTCTGTAATTATTCCAATTCGGAATTCATGACACGGGTTGTTGTATAGTTTGAATCGTGTTTTGTATACGTTTTCAGATAACTGTATTCATCTACGTAATTATTTTTTTCAAATTGTAACAAACAGCAACTAACATTAAAGCAGACAAACTATGTATGATTTAATCAATCTATGTATCAATTGTGTAGATTGCAGTTGTACATGATAATATAACGCAAGGTTAGTAAAAACTCGAATAAAACAAAATAGCTTTAATATTTCTAAAAAAATCAAATGTCATTACCTATACATAAATGCAGTAAGCTATCAGATTGTAATTACGTTTATATGATTCCCTAGAATCTCGATATTCATCTTCGGTTTATTCTTTTTAATGAATCCCAGCCTTATTGTCAAAGCCGGTCTATTTTGAAGGCATTTTAGTCAATAAGCTGTGTACAACTTATTTTCTAAGTCGTAAAACTTACGACAGATCATATATAAATATTGGTAGACACACAAGGAACAATGAATTTGCAAATGCATGTTGTTAAAATTAGAGCTTTCTGGTGAAAATAAGCAATGTCTATTAAGAAATATTATTTCTATTTGGAAACAAGGCCTATTTTCAAAACTGACTTATTTTCGAAATATGTTTGATTGCAAGGAATTCAAAGCTTCTTTTTATGTCTAGCCTTTTTCGAAATTTTAATATTACAATATATATAGCACACGGTAATGTAGAGTGGAAGTGCATGGATAAGGCATGCTGAGGAAAGTGATTATACCGATAATACTTACGACATAAGACACAGGCCACTAGACAGGACAGTACGATAAGCTTCAACATCTTCAGTTGATTGATTCTGTAAATGGAATGTGATTACTGTCAAATGGAACATTGTTAACATATGCCATTTGAATATTTTTCTAAAATGTTCGCATCGATATACATTCATAATATGATTTACCCGACTACATATTTTACTATATCAGTGTATTATAATTTGCTGTGATCACACATGTCAATATTAGAAAAACTTACCTGAGCCAACGCTTTCGTTCACACTGGTTCAGTCTGTGTCAGGGCAGGTTGTGCTGGAGAACAAAGTATGAACAATTTTATACACAATATGACGAGGAAATACTTTGTAATTGTGATACATCGTAGTTCCTCAATCATTTTCATAAGGTCGCTTTTATTACGTATGTACACAGATCAACGCATTCTATAATTAGCTGATGGAGTTACCCTATTTTACCAATGACGTACACGTCGATGATAGGACGACTTTGGAGAGTAGGAGTTTATGAGGATGACAGATATCAAGTGTTAATATACATATTATTCATTTACATATAAAAGCAAGTCTTAATGTTGATAAATCGACGTTTTTGTTCCTAATTGTTATGATAGATGTATGCAGCACAATATTCATTTAAGTTCGTTATATGGAATAGAGACTTTGTTGTGTGTCAGAGTAATATGTGTTTTTTTTAAGGATGAACGTTTGTGAGGTTTAATTCGCGTTGAAATCTCGCTTTGATATAATGTAACGGGTTTTCTTAAAGTTAAAGCAATTTCATCAATTTTAAAAGCAAGCAGTCATCGTAAAAATAGTCAGTTAAACTAAATGCATATTGCTTGCAGAAGTTTCTTACAGGTTTAAAAAAATGAACAATTTGGCAGCCTTTGGATATTGCCTGGTGTGTTTTTGCACACTGTACAATGCAAAAAGTTCGCCTTTTAGACATTTTCTCTCAAAGTTTCATTGCATCGCAAATTTTAACAATATCAAGTTGATTATTGCTGTGAAAGTTTTAATTTTTCAAATTTATGAAAATAAAATGCAACAAAGTGGACAACTAATCATACAACACGGTATTCGATGACATGTATTGAGTTTAACTGTAGCTCTTTTGCTTTCTTATCACGCAAAAGATGAAAGAAAACATAAAAAACTTGTTATCCCATTATTTTGGCAAATCAAGGATGCAACAATTCCGTACGTTTACTTTTGATCTATTCAATATGGAAAGTTTGATAGCGGCACTTATTTTAACGATCGTTTTAAATGTGTCGGTATAGAAAGTGTAGGACAATTTGTATTTAAAAATTAGGAGTGTGGGAAACTTAAATTGCTTTTCTATGAATATAAAGTATACATTAAAATTTTCACTTCCTTAGTTAAAATGAAAATGTTAATTGTGAACTTTAGTGAACGCATTCGTAGAATTCTAATAACCAATAACATGATATAACATAAATTTGTTTTGTATATGTAAAATATCACCAAAACGAAATCACATATACTGTTAAATTGGCATCGTCCTTGACCGATAAAAGCAGATTAACAAATACACGAACATTGATGTGCTTTGGCTATATATATACATATATTTAACAGGTTTGGGGCAACCGGCTCGCAGAAATCATGTAAAGATGGGTTTTGCAACCCCACCATTGACCAATGTTTGGCGTTTTTTGGCAATCCCACATGAGCTAGCTGTTGTAGTTTGTAGTAGTGGCTGGCCTGCGTGTATGGTGCCATGCGTGTGTGGTGGCAGCTACTGGGTTATTCAATTTTTCATATAAATTTCCATATATTATTGATTTTATACTAAGAGCCCTAGTGTGGCTCTATTGATATTAATAAATTCAATGTCACCAACCTGGTGGCCATTTGCATCATTTTGTTGTCCGAGTTTTGCTTAGCAGGGGCATAAATATATTTATTCTGCCTTTTTATTATGCAGTTTACTCTTTTTTTTACAAAAAAAAAAAAATATGTTATGTTTTTAACTTCGCAGTGTAGTACATCATTAAAAGATAGACAAGATGTTTTTCCTGTACCCTAACAAGACATGAACAATGAATAACAATTGATAGAGGGGGGAAAGTGAGGAAAGCCCTTTTCAGGTTGCAATCATTTCCATTGATAATATTTAGTTGATAGAAGTACATGTAGTTTTGCAAACAGTAAATATATCGGACACATTCTATCATTATTGAATGTGTTATGTCAGTACATTCAATTTTTTGAAAAAAACATCTTCATTGTTTTGATAATAAAAAAAATTGGTACATCTATTAGGAAAAAGAAATCGTGCAAAGAAGTGCGATTCGCTATTTAGGATTACAGACGAAAGCACTCAATAAATACACAACAAAAACATAGTTATAGTTGTATACTTAATACATATCGTAACACAAAATTAACGTCTAGAAGCAAAATACCACATTAGTCTGATAGGTGTTAGTACTAAACATAATTTGTTGAGGCTTATAGACTAGCTATTTTTATTGGTAATGTAAAACTTGCTGTAAATCAGTAGTAATAAGGTGATACTATGTATTCCTAGTTGATTGTTAATTTCACCATACTTTAACTCTGTTGAAATTATGGATTTGTACTTCACTAGTAACAACACGTGAACTGTTTAACATGAAGTATATAAACATGGGCGCAATCGGCCTCGTTGTCTCACTGATCGCGATACATTGAAATACTCTCAAATTAAAACATATATGAAAACGTTTTGAATTCAAGTACATCAAATGATTTTCTGTCCCGCATAATACAAATAGAAAGTGTATGTATGCACACGTACATTGTGAAAGCTAACCTTATAGTACAGGTGACTGATAGATGTATGTTATAGCTCGGGGCTGTATAATAACCATAACATGAGGCTCAAATTATTGACGTCATTACACACAGATAGATATGGTCATCATCCGCGTATAACCAATAGTTGCCTATGTAGTAATTATCTGTGTTTTATAATATCTGCCGTTGCAGGCTTATTGTATAGTTTATGTTGTGTTTTGCGTCAGATGAAATAAAATAAATCAATTGGGAAGATGATTACAATGTGACCTTATCGCTGCATACATATATGAGTAGCAACCGTTCTTTGAATTTAGATAGTTCATTCTTTTACTATTCGATATCAACAAACGATATTTAGCATATCTTTGTATTTCCTGGTTGAATCACTACTACATATAATTACACAGGCTAAGGTGTAGTAATATGATAAAACTAATTAAATATAATTACAATAAGTTTATATAATAATACTATTTTTTTGTGAATGACCCTAGCGACTAAACAACGACTGGTCTGAGTACATCTTGACTAAATTAGATGAACAGACCACATGGGCTTTGTGAACAATGTTTACTTTCCGAAATATTCACAATTGAAGTTCCAATTTAATCCGCCTTGCTACTTCCAGTCGCCATTTTGTTAACAGTGGCCTTATCTCGCGCTGATGCGCGTTTGAAAGAGTTTGACGTATTGCAAAGCTTCTAAACGATCATGCCCAGAACATACTCTCTAAGGATGATGTATTTGATAAATTTACTATTAATGTTTCATTATAATTCTTTTTTGTATCACTTTCATTAATTCATAAAAGAACAAATTGATTTTTTCCCCTTCAAACTTTTTTCTTTCAAATGTTAAAACACATTTGTTTTGAAAAAATGTTCTAGTTTCGAGATTATGATCAAACGTCGTCTGCTTCGCAAACATTCAAGAAAATACTATTTACAATGTGTTGATATTGTTTTTATTAACTCGTTTGTTCTTTAAACTATCTTTAATTGATAAATATCCAAGATTTTGCATTTTATGATGTAACCGGAAGCGAAATTGATAGGAGAACGTGACCCGTAAATACCTCACAACATAATCAGGACTGTAATAATAAACAGACGTTTATCGAACATTAACAGATTAATACCGTATGTATTGAGACACTGATGTGCTAGAATACAACACAAGGTAACACTCGTTTAATCCATTGCTATCACATCAAGTATTAACTGACATTTATGCGAAAATATCAGCATTAAATGTTTGCGATCGCGCAGACCTACTTTCGTTTTACAGTTTACATACATCATTTGTACATGTCGGCATCAACAGTATACCTTAGCTTGTGTCCTTCATCGTGCCGAAGATTATACATAGTCGCATTCTAGGAAAAAGTTCGTGATTAAAAGCTTGTGTGTGTTGTTTTTTTTTATCTTACCATTATTGGATAAAAGCATAGAATCATTATTTTACGTTGAATATGTCATTTAAATTTTAACTTTTAAAACTTGTCACCTACAAATATGCGCATACCATAAAGTATTGATGACAACAAGAAATAGGACAGTCTCACAAGTCGAAGACTTACAACGACTGAAAGAACAGTGTGAACAGTGCGAACAAACATAGGTAACTTAAGCTCTCAGGGGCTTGTATTTCGACAAACATATATATATATAAATTGTAAAACATTGTAACAGTGTAAGACAAACAACAAGTTTTATCACAAGATACCTACGTTGGAAGGATTAAGATAAAGAGGCTAAATAATCATGCTGTGCAAAATTTGGCACTAAAACAACTCACTTAAAAACCAGTCCAGAGAGCAGGTGATTGAGACATAGCATTTATTTGTAACCAGGAGCACGGGTTTGGTAGCCGTTAATATTAAAAGACGTTTTTAGTATTGATGCTGCTCGTGACGCCAGTGATGTATTTTTAGCTTACAAGTTAAAGCGTCGTTATCCAAAAAGAAGATTAATGCAAATTGAAAAGTGGGAATTGCCAACAGCTCCTGTCAAAAGTCAAAAACATTCCTCTCATGTTCTTGCTCGTCACCTGGACGTTTGTAAGTTAGAACAGCTGGTCTCGCAGATGCTTAAACTATGTACACAATATATATACAGTTATACCACAGTATTGTAATTGTCTCGGTATGGCTACCAATGCGTTCCAGGTCAGGTAATAGAGTATCAATTGTATTAAATTCAAATAAAGCACCACTTCACGACAATCATGGATTCATATGGGTACAATGTTATTAAAATAACATTCATACAGTGCATGCAAGCTGAAATTAACAAATCATTTGTTTAAAATAACAAGTCATCATTTCCATGAAATTATCCAAATAAATAAGATCTTTATGTCAAAATAAACTTCAGGTTTGATTTTTTAATGTACGTCCTGTCAACAGCTATACATTGTCATTTAAGGACGGCCTCCCCCATTTGCTAGGTGCATGCGTGTGGTGAGGTTGTGCATAATTAATTTGTGTTTTGGGAGTCTGTGGTATGTTCATGTTTGTCTCCTTGTGATAGCGCAGGA